TTGGAGACATTTCAAGATGGCGATCAAATCGCAGGAGTGGATGACACGGAACAAGGTTACTTAGAAGAAGCCTTTGATCAGGACTATGAACCTGAAGATGAAGATGAACGTGATATCAACCTACATGGACAATTCGATGATATCAATGACTCCAAAAGAGAAGAGCTCTTGGCAGATGCAGACAATGGTGTCGATGATATGCCAGAACTCACTGTCAGATTCCAAGGAGATGATGACTATGAATCAGACGACGATTTGGGTGATGAAGGTGATGAAGAGGAAGAACCTATTGTAGCCAATTTGGATCACTATCAAGAAAATGTTGATAGAGGAACCGATGATATTGGGAGCCTCGTTACTGATCTGAAGGACCTACAAGAACCGCCAGAAGAAGAGATTGTATTTGAGCCTGAAATGCCTCAAGTAGCAAAAGTCACTTGATCTGGGCAAACGTATGCACAAGCTGCAATGTCTGGGCTGAACCTTTCCCAAGTTCCAAAGAGACCAAGAGAATGGCCTTCGAGCAGGAGTGGCAGTTCTGCCAATAAGAACAAGAATCAAGTTGCGACAAGACGCAAGCATCAAGAGAGAGAATTGAAACCGTTGAAGAACAAGTTAAAATCTGGTATTCGTACCAAAGAAGGAAGTCACAGTACTAAAGACAGTAAAGCTATCCTTGAAGCAAAGCACAATCTATGTTTCCAACAGATTGGGAATGAGATGAAAGCTGATTATGAAGAGCACGATGCTATTCTGATCGCTCATTGCATGATGCAGATCAAGGCCAAGTTCGATACTGACAAAGGTCTGAACTTCATTCAACAGTATTACATCAATCAAGGACTCAAGAAGTTTGGTGATGATGGAAAGGATGCTGTGGATAAGGAATTGAGACAAATGCTCCTGAGAGATTGTTTTACTCCCAAATTTGTGAAAGACATGACCGCGTCTGAGGGAAAGAAGGCCCAATCAGCGATGATGTTACTCGAGGAAAAGCAATTCGAAAAGAAAATTAAAGGTCGCCTAGTATACCGAGGCGATGGAACTCAAAGGCAGAGATGTATGACGCTGGACGTACCTAACGCTTTCATTCAAACTTATATGCCTGATGCTAAGGAAGGAGAAGATCGTGTCTACATGAAAATCACTGGCATGATGGTCCAGATATTGATTGACATGGCCCCAGAGTATCGCAAATACGTTGTATTAGAGAACGGAAAGCGAGTAACCTATGTGCGGGTACTACGTGCTATATATGGGATGTTGCAATCGAGCCTCCTATTCTATAATCAATTTTGAAGTGATTTGGAGGCAAAGGGATTCGTTTTCAACCCATATGACCCATGTGTTGTTAACAAAGTTGTTAATGACAAACAGCAAACTATCAGATTTCATGTTGACAATCTTATGTCAAGTCACATGGATCCGAAAGTAAATGACGAATTTGCTGAGTGGTTGAACATGAGATATGGTTCGATCCAGGCATGTAAAATCGTCAGAGGAAAGATACACAGATATCTTGGAATGACTTTGGATTTCTCGGTGAAAGGAAAACTCAAAATCCGCATGGACGACTATGTCAAGAACATGTTGGAAGATTTTCCTGTCAAGTTCAACAAGGATTCAAAGCAGGAAACACCAGTTGGTAACAATTTACTGGAAGCTGGGAAAGGAAAGTTACTCAATGCTGAGTACCGACAGATCTTTCATACTACTGTTGCAAGGGGACTTTATATCAATATTTGTTATTTCTTTATCACAGATCAAGTTGAGAAAGGAAATGTTAAGATCAAATACTGTCCAACTGACGATATGATTGCCGATTTCATGACAAGTTCAGGGATCTGATTCTTGGTCCACAGGACTAGGTCAGACAAGTATGTATATGTTCAAAATGAAAATACAAAACAAAAATAAACAGTGAATGAGAGCATGTCCCATTGCTGCCAATGGTGATTGTCACAATGGCAGGAGTGTGTTGGGATATGACGAAATATGAGTTTTTACGTTCCAAAAAGAAACTATTCAAGTACAAAGTTTTTGACACGTACGATCGGACTTTGATCGTGATGTCAGGATTTGATGCAAGTATGCCGGACGCAAGTCTGTCGGACAATCTACATCCACACAAAAAGGGAATGACCCTATACAAGTGAGATATCGATGTTGTGTACAATACAGTAGGGAATAATACAAGATGTCCCAAAGTACACTACTGCATCCAACACAGAACTGTCGTAGAGGTCGAATCAAGTTCTGTAAACAAGGGATTTTCCAAGGGAAAATCGTTGAACTTACTTTTGTGATTGAATCATCAACTCAAGCCAAATATTAATCAAATAGGAACAATTTCACTCAAAGTATACCTAGGCACAGGAGAACTATTGTTCTGAAAGTGTTGTACAATCGATTACGAATTTATATTGCAGAGAGTTTGTTCTGGGCGCTAAAGGCACTCACGATAGAGCACATTTTGCTTTATTCTAACAGGAATTGACTGCTGGAAGAGCGCTGCAAGGATGGTCATTCTGTATGATCTGGAAAGTTTGAGGCTTTCAACTGATAATTATGAGGAGTACCCTCCATCTGAGGTTTGGGAGGAGATCTATAGTAAGCTGGAAGAATTTGAGGATGTCCCAATTGGCAGTTTGAAGAAAACGTGATCAAGTTGCGCAACACTCACGACAAGTCAAGACACAAATCATATCAGGAAGATTTATTTTGGCTGATGACCTGGCCAAACACCTAACAACCACCCATAATGCACGTGGTGAGCTCAAGTTTTAATTGACAAGGGCAAAACAGCTATTGTGACACGATATTGAGAAAAAAAATTATGTTAAAGAAACTAGGGTTGAATCCCACCCATTCAAAAAACGAAAATTCAGAGAGCGGATTCAACAAGAAATTAGATATCAAAAGTACTAGAAGTACTTCCCTAGTACCGCAAATCACGACGAGGAGGGCACGATGAGGAGGGTTGGAGACGACGAGGAGGGTGAAAACGAGGAGGGACCCCTCGAGGAGGGTCGTCAGACCCGACGAGAGGGGGCCCGACGAGTTCACCCGACGAGGAGGCCCAAAACCCGACGAAATGGGCACGACCGAGGAGGGTGCGTGTGCGTGGGAAGTGCGAGGGCTCCATTCGTCCGAGGAGGCTTTATAGTGGAACAAACAATAATTCTAATGCAACAGTCACTTATAACGATATAAAATTGATATATTATCTGTGCTAGTGTTGCTCTGTAAACGCGTTGGTGGAGCACAAGATGCGGAAAACATCACTTTTGACGCACATTTTGATGATGAAAATGGCGATTTGACAATACTTTTCGGTCGGGTGGGCACGTGCTCGTTGTCGCACGGTCGATGCAAGACGACGGAAACTTTTTAATTTGATCATGATTCAATGGACTCACGGCTGGCGCGCAACATCTCTAAGTAGTCGAATTCAAATTCAATCGTGCGTTCCGGCGTCTTCCTCGTACAACTCATTACAAATGCTACGTGAAAGGTTGGCCTTGACACCTTAGATTTTTTTCCGAGCACCCCGTCACTTTTCGTTTTCGACGAAGTTGCAAAGACTCCATTTCCGCATTGTGGACAATGGTGGCTGTTTCAGTGTCCCAGATGAACCTGGTATGTTGTACTTGTTGTTCATATGACAAAATGTGCCGTACGACTCCTTTATTTTGTTTCAAACCATTGAGCTGGAGGTGCTTTTTGTTTCCGTTCCATTGCGTCGTGTCGCTCACAAGAAAACACTTGTCTTCTGTCGCTTCTTCTGTTTCTACTACTCCATTCCAAAGCAAAAAGGTACGAAACACAACCGAACTGTCTTCTATTAATCGATTGAAAAGCTTTTACTGACTCTCTTCTACTTTTCTTTTCCTCTTTCCTTCTGCTCCATCATCTTCTTCTTCTTCCATTCCATCATCACTTCTGCGAACATCACTTCTTCTCCTACCTACAAACCATGAACACTACGAATATCCATTCATTCACAATCATTCTTCACTTGACAATGTCTTCTGCCTACACACTCTACCATCGACCATTTCTACCTGTTCCTTTGTCTTATTCTTTGGTTCCGCCGCACTTCATGTTTCTTTCTACGTCTCCTTCCTTGGCATTCCTTCCATGTCACTTCTCTTCTTCTACCATTCTTCCCTATTGATACTACCTCAACTCTTGCATGATTCAATGAATACATCCACAATACACACTTTCAATAATACTAATAAAATGAATTCTAGAAAAAAGTATCGGGAGAAAAGTACCACGTAGAATAGATACCTGATACTCCTGTAGAATACTGATACTTCCCGGCTAGAAATATCGCACCCGGAGTATATTTTTCGCAAATTGACACCTGGGGACGACGAGGACGCATGGTGCAGCAACTAATCTGTGTTGGGATATGACGAAATATGAGTTTTTACGTTCCAAAAAGAAACCATTCAAGTACAAAGTTTTCGACACGTACAATCGGACTTTGATTGTGATGTCGGAATTCGACGCAAGTATGCCGGACGCAAGTCCGTCGGACAATCTACATCCACACAAAAAGGGAATGACCCTATATCGATGTTGTGTACAATGCAGTAGGGAATAATACAAGATGTCCCAAAGTACTGCATTCAACACAGAATTGTCGTAGAGGTTGAATCAAGTTCTGTAAACAAGGGATTTTCTTGAACTTACTTTTGTGATTGAATCATCAATTCAAGCCAAATATTAATCAAATAGGAACAATTTCACTCAAAGTATACCTAGACGGGGATATCCTGGAAATCCCGGGGAAAAAAAGGGAATTTTTAGGGAACTTTTAGGTAACCTTGAGAGAATTTTTTACGGATCTTTTGGGAGAATAATTGAAACTCCCCAAATGCTATCCCTGCTTTCCCATCTTGCAAAGAAATTGTGGATTATTATTATGTCATTGGCATCGGTTTTGGACAATCCAATTCTATCAACAATTGCACTCTTCACTGTTGATAGCCTACAATGAATACTGGAGCAACTGATAGTGCTGGACAATAGTACGCAAACCTGCTTTTCCAGAATGGACGCAACCTAACCAAACCACCTTAGCTCCAGTTGAACAAGTTCTGGCCTTCCTAGAGAATGTGACAGTATATTGGCAAACCGGAATGACTAGCGTTACATGGTGATGGAGATGTATAATAGTAGAACGTATTCTTCAAGCTTCTAGCTTGATTCTCTATTGACTATAATTTTTGTCTTCAACAGTAGTATCCAGTTTGAGTGTCGTCTTGTCATTGTTCAAGTAAAGTCACTGTCTCCGCATTGGCAGAATCAAGCCCTCATTTGTTCTATTCTATTCTCTCGTCAGAATTTTTTTCACAAAGAACTCTGCAAGCGTCTTTCTGTACGATAGTAGACAGCTTCGTTCAAAACACTGGCCTGGAGGGAAAAAAATTGGCCACAACGGAGCCCAGTCAGGATTCTGCGTTTGTTGTCGTTTTTGAATCTTTCCCAACAAATGTTGATTATTGTGTCTTCGATCTTTGCATACACATGTAGTATATTTGCGATGAAATTGAGCCTTGCGTTCGCCCTTTACGTTTCTACCCAAACAACAAGCCGATTGATTTTTCAGGTCCAGATAATCAGCAAATTGCACAGGCTCGTTGTCGCAAGCCTCACAGAAGTGTATACTTCACTAGAATCGCAGCGATAATCTCAACTGGTAGATTTGACTGCTCTCTCATGCCTTGTTTGACCTTTCCAGGATGATGTCGATTCAATCACAAGATGATGCAATCAAGTTGTTAAAACCACTTTCCAACAAGCGCGAAGTTGGGGGGTGGTTGCACTTCTATCGATCCGTAGGACCTCTCGATCGATTGCATGTCTCTCATAACAAAAAGCCTGACTCCAAATCCACAATGCTGGCGTATTGTCGCAGCTCGCGTGAAGCTGATGATTCATTCTCCGCTTGTTGTGCCGCTTGTTGCACTGGAGTCTGCCGTTCTCGCTTCAGGCGCCTATCATGTCGTCATTTTTATCTCACTAGGTCGCAACTGTTGTGGTGCTGCTTGTTTGTTTTGCGGTTCCTTGGCTTTTGTCTGCAAGCTTGAAGTTGATGTGATGTCGATGCAAAACAATAACACATGTTACAAAATGCTTCAGACCAGTGCAGCTCACGACAAAAGAGCTAGCGACATATCCGGGTTAGAAGTGCTTTATTTTTGATTTTCAAAAACGCATGGTCTACCCTCCGTCATATTCATATCTCACAATATTTCATAAGAAAGCTGACGACACGTAGAGGTCGTACGAAAAGTACGGCGGTTTTCAAAAATACCCAACCCCATTTATGAAATATGAGCCGAAAAATCCCTTTAAGTACCCGGGAAATTCCCTAAAGTTCCCTTTTTTTTTCGTGTGTCCGTCTGGACAAACAGGTCATGCTATAAAGTTCAAATTTTCCACGCGGAAACACGAAATTTTGATGATCGGAGAATCTTGAAATACACGTTATTGCCACACAGTCCAGAGAAACTTAGGGGGTTTTGGCCAATAGGCTCTTGTTTGATTGATCTGCTTGGTCCAAATGCGTCTTTCTTTTGCACATGCCATGCCGCATGCTCTAATAAATTAGCCATCGTTTACACAACATACGTCTTTCTCAATGTCTCATAGGTCCCAATTGATGGCATCTCTACATTTCACCTTCAAGCCCTATCATCAAAGATTCCAACATGCGTTCCAAAATTCTACCAGAAGGAGCCAAAAATATCATGGCAGCAGCAAACCGATAGCTGGCACAGAACACTGCTGATTTGGGGTTCGAATGCTGGAAACTATGCAACATACGTCTTTCTCAATGTCTCATAGCTCCCAATTGATGGCATCTCTACATTTCACCTTCGAGCCCTGGAAAATTGCAAATTAGCAGCCCCCCCTTTACTTTGTCATCAAAGATTCCAACATGCCTTCCAAAATTCTACCAGAAGGAGCCAAAAATGTTGGGATATGACGAAATATGAGTTTTTACGTTACAAAAAGAAACTATTCAAGTACAACGTTTTCGACACGTACGATCGGACTTTGATCGTGATGTCGTGATTTGACGCAAGTATGCCGGACGCAAGTCCATCCGACAATCTACATCCACAGAAAAAGGGAATGTCCCTATACAAGTGAGATATCGATGTTGTGTACAATGCATTAGGGAATAATACAAGATGTCCCAAAGTACTGCATTCAACACAGAATTGTCGTAGAGGTTGAATCAAGTTCTGTAAACAAGGGATTTTCCAAGGGAAAATTGTTGAACTTACTTTTGTGATTGAATCATCAATTCAAGCCAAATATTAATCAAATAGGAACAATTTCACTCAAAGTATACCTAGACACAGGAGAACTATTGTTGTGAAAGTGTTGTACAATCGATTACGAATTTAGATTGCAGAGAGTTTGTTCTGAGCGCTAAAGGCACTCACAATATACAAAGGAATGAGTGATTTGTTGACGATAGGACGTTCTTCATCCGCTCCTAAGAAAGTCAAGAGCAACTCAAGTTCAACAGTTGTGAAACATCAATTTCAACAAAAGATGAAAACGATGGAAAGGCAAGATCGTCGTACGATGATGCCAAAGAAAGAGTGATTGATTATATCCAAGCTTCTGGAATGAAATGTTCCAAAGACATGATGAATCAATTCAAGATGGAAAGTCGATCAACTTCAATGTGATCGCTCCAAGATTGAACGCTCCAAGTCAAACTGAAGCTGTTGCAAGAGAAACAGAGATGGCCCAAAACAAAATTCTCTATTCTGCAAAGCTTGATGAGAACATGCGAAGATCAGCATACTTCGAGACAAACAAGAGAACCGTCAAATCAAACATCATGCTTAAGTTTGTGACGAAGGCGATGGATATCAAGCTTCGAGGTGAAGCCAATTTCACAACTACTCTTGAAGATCCAATCGAGCTCTTGAAACGTATTGAACAATTCATGAAGAAGAGTGCTGATGCTGAGTATGATTTCTTGGATTTCTGGGAAGCGAATCAAAAGTTCTTTGCTATGAAACAAGGAACGACCAAAAACTTGATGCATTTCAAGGAACAATTCTTGAGACAGGCTGAAGTCCTGCAAGATCTATATGGCGTGGCCTGGTTCCGAGATTTTGCAGTCAAGACAAAAGCATATGCTGCTATTGCTAGCACCGATACTGCTGCTCAAAACAAGTTCAAGGATGATATCTTTATAGCCGTTCTTGCAATAGGATTTCTGTGCAACTGCGATTGGACGAGAACAGCTCCTCTGATGCTGGATCTTCAGACAAACTATTGCAGAGAAGTGGAGTATTATCCAAAGACGGTCAGCAAAGCACAAGATATGTTGAAGATTCACATGCAGCTGGAGACCACGAGCCTACCGCTGAGCAAAACAATAGGTCGCTGAAAGAAAGAGTCAGAGTAGCTCTTGCACAATTACCCTACAAAGTGGTCCCAAAAGTAATCACTGAATGTCTTGGACGTCGAGCCGCCGAGCTATTGACTGTCTTTCCATCTCATCACATTTCAGTCCACAGCAACTCATTAATAATGTCAATATCAACTACAAGAGTGACATGGTTGCTGAACTTGGACAATATGTTCATGCAATTGGGACGGATTCCAACAATTCAATGGAACCCCAAAGTATCAAAGCGATTTACATTGAACCTACAAAAGGGACAACGTACTGGGCACCGAGTGCTCAACCTCAATACAAAGAAGATGATTTCCCAACCCAAGGTCGTTGTACCACCCGTTACCGACCAAGTAATCCAGCGTGTTGAAGCTTGGGCTGCTGCCGAAGGTGTTACTTCCATGAAGTTCTTTGATAAGAAGAGAGATTTGGAGACTATGAATCAGACGACAATTCGGGTGATGAAGGCAATGAAGAGGAAGAACCTATTGTGGCCCATTTGGATCACCATCACGAAAATGTCGATAGAGGAACCGATGATATTGGGAACCTTGTTACTGGTCTGGAGGACCTACAAGAGCCGCCAGAAGACGAGATTGTATTTGAGCCTGAAGAAACGCCTCCAGAAGCAAAAGTCACTCGATCTGGGCAAACGTATGCGCAAGCTGCAATGTCTGGTCTGAACCTTTCTCAAGTTCCAAAGAAACCAAGAGAATGGCCTTCAAGCAGGAGTGCCAATAAGAACAAGAATCGAGTTGGACAAGACGCAAGCATCAAGAAAGAGAATTGAAACCGTTGAAGAACAAGTTAAAATCTGGTATTTGTACCAAAGAAGGAAGTTGCAGTACTAAAGACAGTAAAGCTATCCTTGAAGCAAAGCACAATCTATGTTTCCAACAGATTGGGAATGAGATGAAAGCTGATTATGAAGAGCACAACGCTATTCTGATCGCTCGTTGCATGATGCAGATCAAGGCCAAGTTCGATACTGATGAAGGTCTGAACTTCATTCAACAGTATTACATCAATCAAGGACTTAAGAAGTTTGGTGATGATGGAAAGGATGCTGTGGATAAGGAATTGAGACAAATGCTCCTGAGACACCGCATCTGAGCGAAAGAAGGCCCAATCAGCGATGATGTTACTCGCGGAGAAGCAATTTGAAAAGACAATTAAAGGCGATGGAACTTGTGAATGGTTATCGCGAGAGGACACTGCAAGTCCAACTGCTTCACAGGAAGCAATCACCACTACTTGTGTTATTGATGCACACGAAGGTAGAGATATAATGATGCTGGACGTGCCTAACGCTTTCATTCAAACTTATATGCCTGAAGCTAAGGAAGGAGAAGATCTTATCTACATGAAAATCACTGGCATGATGGTCCAGATATTGATTGACATGGCCCCAGAGTATCGCGAATACGTTGTATTAGAGAACGGAAAGCGAGTACCCTATGTGCGGGTACTCCGTGCTATATATGGGATGTTGCAGTCAAGCCTCCTATTCTATAATCAGTTTTGAAGTGATTTGGAGGCAATGGGATTTGTTTTCAATCCGTATGACCCGTGTGTTGCTAACAAAGTTGTTGATGACAAACAGCGAACTATTAGATTTCATGTTGACGATCTTATGTCAAGTCACATGGATCCAAAAGTAAATGACGAATTTGCTAAGTGGTTGAACATGAGATATGGTTCAATCAAGGCATGTACAATTGTCAGAGGAAAGATAAACAGATATCTTGGAATGACTTTGGATTTTTTGGTGAAAGGAAAACTCAAGATCCGCATGGACGACTAGGTCAAGAACATGTTGGAAGATTTTCCTATCAAGTTCAACAAGGATTCAAAGCAGGAAACACCATCTGGTATCAATTTACTGGAAGCTCGAAAAGGGAAGTTATTCAGTGCTGAGTACCATCAAATCTTCCATACTACTGTTGCAAGGGGATTTGATGTCTCTAAGAGAGATCGTTTGGATATCCATCCAACAATTACTATTCTTGCCTCGAGAGTTCGAGAACCTACAGAGTCTGAGTGGAAAAAGTGTGTTCCCATGATGTGATATTTGTTTTGTACATTGTTGTATCACCTGACACTTTCTGCAGAATCACTACGAGTCATGGAAATGGATGATCGACGCATCATTTGCGGTGCATCCAGATTTCAAGAGCCATACTGGTGGCACTCTGTCCTTTGGAGGAGGTGCAGCTCAAGTGATGTTGAAGAAGCATAAGCTAAACAACAGAAGCAGTATGGAAGCAGAACTGATTGCTGTTGACAATGTTGTCACGATGATCCTATGGACAAAGTTGTTCATGGAGTGGCAAGGGTATCCGATCGAGGAGAATATCTTGTATCAGGATAACAAAAGAGTGATTCTACTGGAAGAGAATGGTCGCAAGAGCGCGGGCAAAAGAAGCCAGCTATCAATATTCGTTATTTCTTTATCGCAGATCAAGTTGAGAAAGGAATTGTTAAGGTCAAATACTGTCCAACTGACGATATGATTGCGGATTTCATGACTAAGCCATTGCAAGGTGAGAAGTTTCGCAAGTTCAGGGATCTGATTCTTGGTCCACAGGAATAGGTCAGACAAGTATGTATATGTTCAAAAGAAAATACAAAACAAAAATAAACAGTGAATGAGAGCATGTCCCATTGCTGTCACAATGGCAGGAGTGTGTTGGGATATGCCAAAATATGAGTTTTTACATTCCAAAAAGAAACTATTCAAGTACAAAGTTTTTGACACGTACAATTGGACTTTGATGGTGATGTTGGAATTTGACGCAAGACGCAAGTCCGTCCGACAATCTACATCCACACAAAAAGGGAATGACCCTATACAAGTGAGATATTGGTGTTGTGTACAATGCAGTAGGGAATGATACAAGATGTCCCAAAGTACTGCATCCAACACAGAAATGTCGTAGAGGTCAAATCAAGTTCTGTAAACAAGGGATTTTCCAAGGGAAAATCGTTGAACTTACTTTTGTGATTGAATCATCAATTCAAGCCAAATATTAATCAAATAGGAACAATTTCACTCAAAGTATACCAGACACAGGAGAACTATTGTTGTGAAAGTGTTGTACAGTCGATTACAAATTTAGATTGCAGAGAGTTTGTTCTGAGCGCTAAAGGCACTCACGATAGAGCACATTTTGCTTTATTCTAACAGTCTGTAGGATAAAAGAATGAACAAGCTGGCAAAGTTTACGACACTTTCAAATCTTTGAGAGACAAACATAAAAAATGTGTCCTTGCAGTTGTTGGAACAGTCCAATTCCAAATGAATAACGGTCACCCTCTCTTTGATATAGAATAATTTAACACATATCTAATACAATTTTATTACTACTTGCTAGTCCTTAGACATCGGCGCTTCTTTCTCCTGCTTTGTTTCCTCCTCCTTTTTGGCCATAGCTACTTTCATATGTTGTATTGCTTGAAGCTGCCCTTCCCCCATTGGAAAACTCACCCCCCCTGACTTTTCTGAGTATGTTTGAGTTCTAACTCACACGTTTGAGTTAGAACTCAACGCCGTAAGTAATAACTCACACGTTTGAGTTAGAACTCAATGCCGTGAGTTATAACTCAGGATTCTGTTGTGATTTGAGTTATAACTCAGAAAAAGTCACAATGACCAATTGGTCATCCCTGTCCATAAGTCCCTATTTGATAAATCATAACATAATTAATATGTCATTAATACTTTTTTATATAGGGAGAAATAACATAGATTTTTCGAATTTGCGATAAGTCCCAAAAATGCTCGGTCTCAACATTTGCCGGGTGTTCCTGGAACACCCGGCAGAGTGAGGACTTCCGAATTCGCCGTGGTTCTTTCTCTTTTGTCTTTCATTATGTAAGAGGAGAAAAAATATAGAAGAAGATTATTCATTTAACAAATATTTGACATTTATGAGTAAAAACTGCTTCCTGGTCGCTTCTCCTCAATTCCCTCAAGTGCTCAATTTCCTCAATTTGAGTAAAATGAGGACTTTGAGGGAATTTAGGACTTTGAGTAAATTGAGGGGAAGCGACCAAAGTCCTCACTTTTGGTGGCTTCTCCTCGCTTTTGCCTTAGCCAATCAGATTTTGTCATGTTTTTGTTTGTCTATTAAGTATGAGTTGCTCTTTTTCCTCCACGCAATCACAAATGACTTATGAGGGTCTTTCTGTTTTCCAACAATTACAAAAAACCTCGTTCTGCCAGGTGTTCCTGAACCCCCCAAATTTTTGCACACAGTAGGTTTTTGCACTAAGGCACCAATAATCTGTTTTCTTACGTGACAAAACCTTGTGAAGTCTACGTGCCGACGCTTTGTATTAATAACCAGGATTGAAATAAACCGGATTGAAATAAACAATGGACTGCAACGCAGCAGCAACGACGTTTGTTTGCTAATGGTTTCGTAATGGTAGGGGGCGGTGAAGACTGCCACAGTTTAAACAGCATGAACGATTCATAATGAGTTTTCAGGAGGTATGGGACGGCAAGAAAAATTGAGGAAGCACAGAAGAGAGAACAAGAGATAACTCAGGTTTCTGTTGCCAGAAAATCGAATTTGCTGAAGAGTAACATCAAAGGTATAATATTTGGCTTGAAATGATGATTCAATCACAAAAGTGGGTTAACAAGTTTCCTTCTGGGAAATCCCTTGTTTGCAGAACTCCATCCAACTTCTATGAGGACTCTGTGTTGAATACAGTACTTTGGGATATCTTGTATTATTCCCAACTGCATCGTACAAAACACCAATATTCCACTTGTATAGGGTCATTCCCTTTCCATGTGGATATAGATTGTCCGACAGACTTGCGTTGGATTGCTGACATCAAATTAAAATCGCTTTATCCATGTATCGGATGTTGGTGAAATGGGATCTTGATAGGTAAAAGAACAGTCGAACATGTCGGACAGTGAAGTCGGACATTGATGATATCGAACAAGGACAGGAGTACGGTTCGAGTACGTACAAAGATGGATAAGTATTGAAGGTAGATCTACTCTGTGACTAGTTGGTGAAGAACATGTGCGTATGTGCTTTATACGCCGTGACAGCTGGTGAGAGCTGACGCAGATGGCTTCTGGAACCTGCTTGTGGAGATCATTGTTGATCGACTTCTGGCAAGAATAGCAGTAGAATAAGATCTAATAGGAAATGGTGAGACTGTTCATCCGCAGGTTAAAGCCCAGCATCACTGGCACTTGTTCCTATTGTAGGCAATCCATAGCCGACATAGATTCAAGCTCAGTATACTCCAGAGGTAGCTAGAGCGTTGAGGCTCTCATTACAACTACGGAGTTGATTATCTGACAGTCGATCAACAAAGGTAATTTTTGAGCATTGCAAAGTAGGAAGGACAACAGAGCAAGATGCCTGGTAGAAGAAACCAAGGCAGAGGCGGTTGAGGTGGTCGTGGAGGCAGATCTGCACAGCAGACTGGTCGGGGGTCTCACAGCAAGAAGGCCGATAGACCAAAGCAATACCATCCTCAGAATCCTGACTTCACTCACGAGCAGGTGACAATATACTTGCTTGAGGCCATTGCGCTCAAGAGCTTGGACTACGCTCAAGATATGATCTGGAGTGTGAGAAATATGGCCCATGTGGACTTTGAGGCTT